AGATAATTGTAATTTTTTCCAATTTTCCATCTCTCTATATATTTTTGCCACAACGGATCATAATTATGCTTAAATAATTTCGCATTTGATGTCATAATATAAACCCCTAAATACTTAACTTTTTTTACTATTTCAAATCCTGTTAATCTTTCTAATTCTTCTTTTTGATTTTGTAATCATGTTTTTAGTCATTATCTTCATTTTCCCTGCATTTATTTTAAATCCAGATACTTGTCCATATTGATTAATTATATCCATTAGACCTACAACCAACTGTAACGGTTGGGTTAAAGTAACAACCAAGTCGTCTGCGAATGCTCGTAATCTATAGTCATACTGCCTAATCTTAATTCCACTTATTTTGTCCGACCCACGTATCTTACTTAACAAAAATTCCAAAGTCAAGATAAACAATTATGGAGACAAAGGGCATCCTTGTCTTGTTCCTTTTTCTATATTAAAAGTATCTGTTAAACTACCATTAATTATTATTTGCGCTGTTTGTTTCTGGTATATTGCCTTAATAGATTTTGTGAAATATTCTCCAAACTGCATCCTTTCTATTATTTTCAATAAGAAATGCCAATTCAATCGATCGAATGCTTTCTCTGCATCAAGAAATATTAGCACTGCAGGGACTTGGTTGTTCTTCCCCAAATACTCCAATAGGTTAACAACTTGCCTTACATTACTCTTCATTTGTCTACCATTTATAAAACCAGTTTGATCATTATGAATCATTTGTTGCATGACTGTCATTAACCTATTTGCTAGTATTTTAGCAAAAATCTTGTAATCTGTATTTAAAAGTGATATGGGCCTATAATTTTTTGGCTAGGTGTGGTCTTGATCCTCCTTTGGAATCAGAGAAATAAAAGCTGTCCTCCAGGATGGGGGTATATCTCCTCCAGATTGTATATTAGTAAATAATTCCTTAAGTGGTCCCACCATTTCTAACTGCAAGTATTTGTAATAAGCAGCTGTCAAACCATCCGTCCCAGGGGCTTTACCCACTTTCAACTGCTTAATCGCAAACATAATTTCCTCAGAAGTTATTGGTTGATTTAAACCCTCCCTTTGCTCTTTTGTAATTATAGAAATATTCTCTTTCTGTAAATATCTATATCTATACTTTGAATTTTATCACTAGCATACAATGTTATGTTTATTATTCAAATATATCAAAATACCTCTCATAAATGCTTTACTTGCGTCCCAAACCATTTCCATAGATGTACCCTTATGCATATTCATAATGAAAAATTCTTTCATAAATTTTTTACATTCTTTTACATTTTCCTCATATCTAAACAGATTTTCATTTAACCTCCAAGACCTCTTAAATCCCTTTCCGCACTCTAATTCCATCCAAACTGGACTATGATCCATTAAAACTCTTGGACATATCTTCGTCTTCTTCACCCTAGAAAAGAGATCATTAGTAATTAATATGAAATCAATCCTAGAAAAAGATTGATGTCTATCAGAAAAAAAAGTAAAATCTTTTTCTTCAGAGTTCCTCCCTCGCCAGATATCTCTCAACCCTGGACTATTGTAATAATCCTACATGGGGCTTCCCTTGAAGAGCATTCAGAAGCTAGAGCTGGTGCAGAGTGCAGCAGTGCAGGCAGCTTTGGGGGGGGGGGGCCCAGAATGGCTCCAGTAACACCCCCCTCCAGGAGCTGCATTGGTTGCCAGTCTGCTTCCAGGTGCAACTCAAGGTGTTGGTGATCCCCATTAAAGCCCTTCATGGCATGAGTCCAGGTTACTTGTGAGACCGTCTCACCCCACTAGGATTGGCCCATCCCACTCTGTGAAACTTCTCAGTCATTCAGGTCATGGTTGTCCCAAAGGTGCTTTTTTCAAGAGGCAACTGGACTATGGTTTTTCTTTGAAGACGTTTTGCTTCTCATCCAAGAAGCTTCTTCAGCTCTGACTGGATGATGGGCAATGGCAGGATTTATACTCCTTGCAGACAACTGGTCATTTGCATTCTTTTAGAGAGTCACTGAGGCCACTTAGAGATTTATCTGTGTTGTCAGGGTCACCTGTGTAAATGGGTGTGGAGCCTTCTTGGAACTGCTGAAAGGATTGTTGTAGACTGGAGATAGATAATGTGGTATCCCTCCCTCCCTCTATTGAGAGAGAGGGCTGTACAATTTTGACATAGATGGCATTATTATTATTATTATTATTATTATTATTATTATTATTATTATTATTATTATTATTATTATTATTTAAATTTCTATACCGCCCTTCTCCAAAAAGGACTCAGGGCGGTGCACAGCCAAAGTAAAAACAGAGCATACAAAATTTAAAAACAGTATTAAAATAATTAAATATTTTGGCCGTAAATTAAAACAACCCAATTTAAAATCAATTTAAAACCCCTCTTTCAAACCAGCAGTCCTTTCTGCCTAAAATGTGGACTTTGTTGTCTTCAAAAGAGCGGCCTTTGTCTTATAAATGCAGATGGACTACTAAGTCTGGTCCTGATGTGTTTGTTTCCACTCATACCGACAGGGGAGGTGTGCTCTGGGTCCCTTCAGCCCGATTATTCCTGCTGGTGGGGTCCCAGAGGAGGAGGGCCTTTTCTGCTGTGGTTCCTGCCCTCTGGAACATTCTTGCCCCCCCCCCCTTGTGAGGTTGGCCCCAACCTTCCTATTCTAAAGACCTGGATCTGCCAGTTGGCCTGGAGCTCCAATGGGGGAACAGCACACGGGGGGCGGGGGTGTTGATCGAGTAACAACAGATCCCACCTCCCCCCATTTTGCTCCCCACCCTCACCACGTGTCCTTGATTTTAATCTTTGGTTTTAATTTATTCAGGTTTGAATGTAGATATATTTTTATGTCTGTAAGCAGCCCAGAAGTACCTTATGGTAAAATGGGTGGTCAAATAATTTTATAAATAAATAAATCAGCTGGAGCAGAGGTTTTAAGGAGCATCTTCTTCAACTTGCTTTATGGAAAATGGGTATTTGGAAGAATTAGCTGCTTGGTTTTCATTTTGTGAGTCTCCAATGTGTGTACATTATGATGAAATAAGAGAATGCTATATCTGGAGGGATTTGATTTGAACCGAGGCTGGCACGCTTTCTTGTGGGAGGGCGCCGACAAGCAACAAAGATACTTCCAACAGCATATTATTAGAGGCTCACTGTACAAAACCTGGCAAGAAATTAGAAAGCAACATTATACTAAAATCCCGAGATGGTTATCGACCATGGAAGCATCGATCTACCCAAATGTAATGGACATAGAAAAAACGAGGAGCTATCAAGAATTACTGAGCGAAGAAGGGAATTTATATACGAGGCAGGAACTCGAGAACCGGGGTATAGACATTGACTGGTGGCCGTATCTCCAAATAGAATCAAGATACAAAGCAGATCGGGCAAAATTCGGATTTCAAAATGAACCAAATGAATTAGACAAGATATTAAAAAGTACGGATGAGAAAATGATAACCAAAATTTACAATTACCTAATAAAATACAAATTAGAGGAGGAGACTGTGAAAGAAAATAGGATAACTTGGGCAAGAAACATTGGATATACTATTGAATTGGATAAGTGGGATAAATTATGGAAAGAAAATTATAAAATGGCAATGTATATACCTTACAAAGAAAACCTTTATAAGATGTTCTACAGATGGCATCTACACTGGCACGTTTAGCTAAAATGTTCCCAAATGTGTCACCAATGTGTTGGAAATGCAAGTCACAGAAGGGGTCATACTACCATTTCTGGTGGTCATGCAGAAAGGCGCAACATTACTGGCAAGAAATCAAGAAAATGATTGAAGAAATAACGATACAGAAAGTTGAAATGAGACCAGAATTTTTTCTACTTGGAATAATTACCTCACAATTTACTAAGGAAATAAAATATCTCACTATACATATCGTAACAGCGGCACGCATACTGTATGCTCCAAATTGGAAATCTGAACAACTGCCAACAGAAGACAAACTAGTTGCCAAAATAACAGAATGTGCAGAAATGGACAGACTTACAAAGCAATTACAAGAGAAAGATGATCCTGAATACTATTTAGTTTGGCAGAGATGGTATTCCTGGTTAGAGGGAAAGATAAATATAGGAAAATAATGTAGCCTGAATGTCTAAACAGGAGCCACAGATAGCTAAGCAAGAAGTAGATTACAATTGATTTGTGTATAACTATGTGAATAAATGAATACGTAAAATAGATATGTATAGATATGTATAGAGGAAAACAGGTGGAACAGGAAAATAATCCACCGATGCAACAAATTTATGTTCTTTTTGATGTTGGTTTGTTTTTCATATTGTTTTATTGTATTTATGTTTGTTTGTATTTTACTGTTGTTTTTCTTTTTTAAACAATAAAAAATTGAAAAAAAAAAAAAGGAAAATGGGTGTTTGGAAGAATTAGCTGCCTGGTTTTCATTTTGTGAGTCTCCAAAGTGTGTACATTATGATGAAAATGCCTTAATTTCATAGCATAAGGGCAGATTCAACCATAGTTTCAACTGGAAAGCAGTGACCCTCTTAGATGAAGCCAAGTCCAAAAATGCCAGAGAATTCTTAGCACTGTGACAGATTGGCAATCATGAGACACATAGACAGTATTTACATACCATTACCAAAACGCCTCACCAGCAATCAACATCCAGATGAGCAGAGATTAACACCAAGGTTAACATTAGACCAAAATCAAGAAGCAAAGAATATTCCAAGCAAGCGAACAGTAAACGTTCCAACCCAGGAACCACCAAGGCCACTCCCACCCACACTGACAGAGCAAGCCACCAGGATATAATTGAGAGTAAACCCCACTCTCTACTAGCACTATGTAGTTCAGTAATGAAACATTTGCAAGGAGACCACCAAGCTCGGAGAGTACCAAGGACCCCGTACACCCTTTTTGTTACGTCCATCTTGTGGGGGGGGGGGGAAAATCTTAGTCTTCAGTGTGTGATTCTCTTTTGTTCCCTTTCTTCTTTGCAGGCCTTTGTGTTGTTGAGTGATTTGCTCCTGATCTTCGGTCCACAGCTGACTGACGGAGGGCACTCTGTCCTGCAAGAATTGGTGTATCATCCGGAGTCTGCTCTACAGTCGCAGCTGGCTGGCTTTCTAATGGACCACGTCTTCAACCACAGCCAAGCCCAGGATGATGGTGTGCATTATCCTTGAAGGTGGAATTTGAGAGGTTTGGAGTAGGAGTACAGTTTTTGAGTGAGTGTGCGAGTGCACTTATATCCCCTCCCTTCTTTTCAATTGGCTGCTGAACTCAGATAGTGAAAACGGAGAGCTTCAGGTTGAACAGCTGCACCAGCGACGTAATTTGCTGTCTGGATTCTGCAAACTGGTTGTCTATGGAGTGCTGGAATTGAGCGCTGCTTCAGATGTCTTCAAGTATTACTCCAAGGTATGCGAGGATGGCTGGGAAGGCGCAGGGAATTGCCCTGGATGTATTCAACACCAGTCATCATTCCAGTTTAGCTGTTCCCCTGCCTTGCCTCAAGAGTCGCTAGGGCCATTTCTAGAGCTTCTAGTCCCGTGTCTCCAACATCCAAAGAGGAGCAGAAAGGAGGAAGGGCTTGTTTTCCACGGCTGCACAGAATTCGAGTTACCTGGATAGGATGGGTGGAAGTCCAGGAGCTGACTGAAATTTTGGAGCTTAAGGGAAGCACCAGAAGATTGAAGAAGAGCTAATGTTGTTCCTAACTTTATAGGGAAAACATGGACTTGGCAGGTGGAGATCAGACAGCTTGATATCTATACCTCAGAAGTCCCTAGGGAAAAAATAAGTGGTGGATCTGCCGGCACTTAGAAAGGAAGAGGGCGATTACCAGAAGCCGCCATACGATGTGCAATATCATGAATCCCAATAACTTGCTTAACTGTAGGCTACTTTCTGTTGACCCAGAAAACATGATGTAAATATAAAAGTCAAACCTTTAACTAAGAAAATTTACTTTTAAAGAATTTTCACTTCAAAGTCCATATCAGATGTATCTTTTGACAAAGTGATTGGATTACAGGTAGTTCTTATATTTGCAACCATTTGTTTAGCAACTGTTCAAAGCGGCACTGAAAAAATTGATTTATAACTGGTTCTCACAGTTACGACTGTCACAGCATCACCGGAATGATATGATCAAAATTCTTGGCAACTGGTATGGGGACACAACAGTTGCCATTTGCTACCTTCCCAGCTGGCTTCCAGCATGCAAAGTCGGGGGTTGTGGGGGGCGGGGGGAAGCTGGGCTTGCGGAATGATGGCACAATTCTCATTGAAACAATTGCAGGGATGTAAGAGAACAGAGCTGGAAGGGACCTTGGAGGCCTTCCAGCCAAGCCGTGCCGTACTCAAGCAGGAAACCCTGCACCATTTCAGACAATATGCATAATAACTGTGGTGAGAAAGGTCACATAATCGGGCATGACTCCCTTAATGACTGCCTTGCTTAGCAACAGTGATCCCAATTGGGGTCAAAAGCTGAGAACTACCACTGGTAGATCCGGGAAGGTTGTTAGTGTCTGGCTGTCCTGCATGAAATGCACAGCTGTTGCTTACAGAAAACGCAGAGGGCAATGCAAACCGCCCATTTGACTACACGGGCGATTCATTACTTTTGTTTTAGTATAAAACTTACTATGCATGTAAATGTATTCCTCTCTCTATTCTATTTTTGCTGCTTTGTTTTATGTAATTAATTAAAAAAAAAGCTGTAAACAAAGGAATCCAGTGCTCCATTTTTCCTACCAGTTTTACGATGACTATGGGGACATCATTAAAGAAACTCTGAATCAGACCCGCCAAATTGACCGAATTGAGTGGGCTCACACGCTGCTACTCAGCCTGCAGCAGGTAAGGGGGCCATCGCGGCAGGGGTGGTGGTGGTGGGGCTGCTGGAGAACAGGGCGTCTGCCCAGCCAGTTTCTCTTTGCTCCCAGTTGCTGACCCAGCTCTTCTTGGAAGAGGGACCTGGGGCCACAGACTCAGCTGCCTTCCTGGATATCCGGGACTTGGCACGGCGGTTCTCTCTGCTGTTTGGGCTGCACCAGCTGCAGAACCGACCAGCCCTGGTGGCTTTGCACAAGTGAGGACGCTCTGGAGGTGGCCAGGGAAAGCAGGGCTTGTGTCCAGTTCTGGGGGTGGTGGTGGTGGGAGGAGCGGAGGTAGCTGTGCCATCCTCACAGCGTCTTTGTTCTAGGGATGGCATAAAGTTTGCCTTTGAGGAGCCAGCATCCCCCAACCCCAGTCTGGGTCTCATCAACCTGCCCTTCTTGGAGCTGCTGAGTGAATTCTCCCCAAGGCTCTTGCCTCCGGATAAGGCTCTGCTGTGAGTACGTGGCTGGGGAGTCCCCTGGAAAGCCTCCCTCCCAGCTGAAACCGTTCTTTTCCTCCCGCACACAGCCTTGCCTACTTGAAGAAGACGGGACAGGCTCATTTCTCAGGGAGCAGAGATGAACCCCGCTGGCCCTCACTCCTGCTCTATCGGCACTCCCTGAGCCCTCAGCAGGAGGCTGAGGCCCTCCAACCTCGCAAGGCTTCCAAGAGGAGACATTTGAGTGGTGGGTGTGTGGGGATCTGAGGCGGTGAGTGGGAGACGCTCTGTAAGGAAGAGCGTCTCTGGAGAGCTGAGGGCAGAAAGCATTCAGTCTGTCATCCTGCTTTGCCAGGATCCTCTGAGCACAGCGGCAGCACCAGCCTCGCCTCTGGTAGCCACCTGCAGACCCCCCTGCTGACTTCCACCGCCCTGAGGGTCAAGCGCCAGCTGACAGGGCCTCCCCTGGAAATGGAGAGCTCAGGCAGCGAAGCCGAGTTTGCCCAGAGGTGAGACGCCAGTGGCGGAGAGTGACTCCTGGGGCTCCACTTCAGGGCCCGAGCTGCCTTTTGGCCACAAACGGGGCTGGGCTCTAGCAGCACTGCAAGGTGGGGAGGCTGTGGTGGGACCGTCTTGCACACAGGACTGTGTAAGCCAGAGGGACCGTTTGTGGCAAGGCCACTTTTGACCCCTGTGTGGAAGGCCCAGAGATCGGGGGGGGGGGCTTTCCTCCCTTCCAAGGGGCAGCGGCCGAGATAGACCCCCTGCCAGTCAAAATTCTAGTTAGGAGAGAGGTGGTGGCTTTGCTGTGTGTTGCTGCAGGCTGTTTTCCCCTAGTGCCCAAACCTGTGGGGTGTCATGCACCAGCCCCGCTAAGTAGCTTAGTACCCGGCTGGCCGAACAAGAACAGGCGAAGGAGAGAAGCAAGAGAGGCCGGTGGGTGGTTACGGGTGTGATTCCCGCACAACACATGTGGTTGTGGAGGGAGTTTGCTTAGTCACGCGGTCCTCCTGGACTCACAACTCCTGCTTGAACAGCGGCCAAGTGCAATTCTCATCGGAGGTGGTTCTCAAGGCTCCTTGAGTGGCAGCTTGTTCCCCCCCTTCCCCCGACTCTTCCTTGGAGCTCTGGCTCATTGGATACCCTGCTCTGCCACCTGGGAGAGCAGAGAAAGGAGGTGGGCCCCCCAGCCCCTCCCCCCCCCGCCTTCCTTTGGGGGAAGGCCACATCATTCAGAGTCCATTCCCGCTGCTAAATGGGGCGGTCACATACAGCACGCTCAGAAAGTATTCGGACCCCCTTCCCTTTTGCCAATGTCATTATGCTGCAGCAGCCCGATTCTACGGTTGTTGAAATTCCGCCCCCCCCCCATTAATCTGCACTCAGTACCCCATAATGACAAAGGGGAAACAGAATTTTAGAAATGTCTGTAAATTTATTAAAAAGAAAAAACTGCTGCTGAGAGGTCGGAGAGGTGCCATGATTTTCCACCCGTTGTTGAGGTGGTTTTGGGGTCCCAGCTGCAGAGGACCATGGATGATGAGGTGGATTATCTGGACCCTTTGAGGCTGAGAGGCAGAACCGAGGTGAATCTCATGGATGACCTCTAGTGGGCTTGGGGTGTTCATCCTGGTTTATTTCCATGTCCCCGAGCATGACTATCTTGCTGGCCCAGGTGCGGGGATTGGGAGGCTTTTCTCCCTTCTCCGTGGCCAGTACCAGCCAGTGCTGGGAGGGGGGGAGTCTGGCTTAGCTAGTCACCCCTCCCCTTTAACTTGTGCATGGAACTTGTAGATTGACCACAAGATAACAGCCAGCATGGGGACAGCCCTGAGCAGAGGAGCAGTTTGTACCAATAGAAGAGAGTATTTTGTAGAAGAAGCAGTTTGTAGGTGAACCCATTGAGAGCGCATTCCTCCGCCCCCCCCCCCCCCCAAATGGTAATCATACTTTTCAAAAGAAAGGAATATCTGCTTGACTTGATGCCTTTTGGCTTCAGGGAACATTTTAAAACGCTGAAAATGTTCAGAGCTACTTGGCCGAATTTTCTGTGTGGGCTCTTGATGAAAGTAGGTGGCGGGTTTGCCAATGCGGGTTTGCCTTCAGAACTGGGAACTGTAGCTGCTCCCTCTGGCTCATTAGATAAAAGAGGGCATGTGCATGACTGCACTTTCAACCCCCCTCACCTCCCCCTTTCCCATTCACACTTAGGAAGTGACACTGATCTCTCTGAGGCTCTAGGGATGGCTTTTTTCCCAGCAGACCCCACTTTTTTTAAAAAACAACTACACACCCCAAAACAAGGGAGGATAATTCTGCCCTCAGAGGGATTGCCTGCACAGTCCTAGCCCTTCCCTTCCCCGCCCCCCCCAAAAGAAAAGAGGAAGGTTCCCGGCCACAGGTTGGGCCTGTGGCCCCGAGAGAAAAGGGCAGAGAGCTCAAGAGCAGCACGCTTGTGTGGCAAAGTGCCTGGCTACAGAGGCTGCAGCACCCAAAGCCCGCTGTGCTTTTTGTGCTGCCAAACCACTCAGTGGTTGGGGCAACCACTGGCAAGTACGGAATAGCCACCGAGAAGAGCAAAATTTGGGCTGGGAGGGCCAGGTCCTACCTGGCCATTGGAGGCCTGGTCTGAAAGCCTGCCTTGGTTTTTTGTCTTCGCAGGCTGCACCTAATCGAAGAGCCAGAGAACAGCCAGGAGAGGGAGGTAACCGGTTTGGTTTTTCCATGGAAAAATGTTGCAATAGGCTTAGGACTCCTTTGACTTGAGTGAAAAAGCAGCTTGAAGATGCATAAGCAACATGCAGAGCAGCTGTGGGGAAAGGATTTTAAAACTGGCAAAAAAAGCAGCATTCCTTCAAATGCGTCATAATTAACCTGTGGAACTCATTGCCTGCAGGATATTGTGATGGCCACCAGTGTGGGTGACTGCATAAATCTCTCTGAAAAGTGGGTGATGGGATCCTTTTCCAAGAGTAACTTTGCTAGGTCAAGGCGATTCTTATCTGTTTGCAGTAAAAGGCCGGCACCTTGTGTGGTGGAGAGGCTGCTTTCCGCACTGGTGGTTAAGGGGGAATTTGGGTGCTGCCGCCCAGAGCATTCCTGAAGCCTCCTCAAGAGCGTCGAATTTAGTGGCAGAGAAAGGCTCTTATTGGTCTCCCTCTTTCCCTGCAGGTTTCCTGAAGCTCTTCTTTTGCAGAGGTCTCCCTTACGGGGGTGGGGGGTCGTGGAGAGGAGGGCTGTACAGATTCCCTGCCAAGTATCATCACCATCATCTGTGCCTCGTTTTGCTCCTGCTGTATAAAATTTGCTTTCTTCCTTGGTTTGCACTGTTTAATGAGGGTCACACAGGATGCTCCCTGGTTTCGTGGCTTTGACTGTTTATACTTGCTAGTTAAAAAATAAAGCTGTTTAATTTGGAATAACAAGGAGGCAGCCTATCCTGCATTGAGTCGGATCACATAGGACTCGCTGTGAGTCACATACCTCACCCACCGGTGAGGAAGAGTAGGCTCTGGCCCTGTGAAGCGCAGGAAGCGGATCTGCAGCCCAGAGCAGGTGTGGGCTGGCATCTCAAAAGACAGGTTGACGGGGCCGAGCTCACGTAGTCCTGCCTGGGTGAGCCCTGGAATCTCCAGCTGCCGAAGGAGAGATTGGATGGTCTCAGGGCAAGGAGGGGGTGCCCAGCCCTCATTTTCCCACCAAGGAAGCCTCAAAATCGTGGCTGCATGGCACCTCCTTCCTCCATGGGACAGGCTTGTGTTGCGGAAACCCGACTGCTCTTTACCTTAAACATGGCAGAAAGCTGGGAACCACCTTGCATTCGGGGGACAATCCACTCAATAGACTTGGTGGTAGGCTGCAAGATGGCTGTCTGTTCAGGACTGCTCAACTCCTGAGAAAAGCTGTAAAGGAAGACCAGAAGATGCAGCAGAGTCCCTGGGCCGGGCAGCAGCGAGACGCCCCCTCTCCCCTCCCCCTTGCAGAACGGCAGGCCAATGGCTAACTCACCTCAGCGTAGTTTTGGGCACAGGCAGATGGATGTGAAGGTTGACAGCATGGCTATAAAAAATTAGAAGGTTAAGCTGAGGGAAAGAGGCTTAAGTCTGCTCCCCACTCAGAAGACAATAAAGGGCTTCTCACCTTTTGGGAAATAAGTCACAGCGAAGCTTGAGATAAATTTGCACCCTGCCAAGGAAAAAAAGATGGGTATGTGTGATGAGCCCACACCGGTGTGGCATTTTGAAACAAAGCCATGCAGACGAGAGCATGCTGCCACTCACCGGCCACAGGAGCTGTGCTTAATGGTGGGAAACAGGTGGAAGGGCAGGGCTGCGGGGATGTCATCAGCTAGCTGGTATTGCATCAGAGTCAACTGCTCAAAAATAATTTTGCAGATGAGGCTTTCTGAGCAGATTTTAAGGATAAATCCACCTAAGGTAATTTAAACAGATCCCAAGGAATGAAAAAGCAGGACTATTCTCTGGGGATTCTCAGTCATCCAGGTCATGGTTGTCCCAAAGGTGCTTTTCCAAGAGGCAACTAGACTTTCTGGTTTTTCTCTGAAGACGTTTCACTTCTCATCCAAGAAGCTTCTTCAGCTCTCATCCAAGAAGCTTCTTGAATGAGAAGTGAAACATCTTCAAAGAAAAACCAGAAAGTCCAGTTGCCTCTTGAAAAAGCAGCTTTGGAACAAGCATGGCTATTAATTGAATTTTACCAGCTGTCCAGCTCATGGTATTTCAACACTAAAACTACAACTAGTAAATCTTTGAGAAACACAGAACACAAATTAACAAGTTAATGGGAGACGCCTGCCAGAAGGGTTAATGCAGCCCTGGATTGCATGGAAAGACTCTATAAAGATACCTGTGAAACCCAAATTTCTACATGACGGAATACAAGCTGGTCTTAACATTTGTGGATTTATGTTTCATGGGGGTGGTTGCAAAAATGATATTAAAATTTTTGCTGCTGTTCCAACGGTAGAGCGCTTGTGTTCAGTCTTGCAGTCTCATCCCAGCAGGATGGCCAAGGGACCTCAGAAGCACAGAAAACCTCTGGGCCCAGTTGGACAATAGGACAGATTTTTGTGGATTTCACATTTTTGCAGGAGACATTGACACAACCCCCGTGGATACAGAGAGCTAACTACATAGTATGTATGATTCTGAGCACCCGATTTCCAAAAACCTATTGCCAGGTGGGAGACAGCTCATAGGACAGCAAGGAAGACAAACCTAAGGACTTGGAGGCCGTCTGAAGGAGCCTGGGACACGCAGTCTAGGGAAAAAGGCAGGGGAGGTCGGTGTATAGAGAGAAGCCATGTGCAGGGTCAAGAACTACCTTCTAGAAATTAGGGCCAGAAAAAAACTAGATGAGCTAGCTACTTATATTCAAACAAAATATAAGTAGTAGGTGACTTATCTTTTGTTCCTTATATAAGAGGAGATGATCCATACAGGAGTGAGACAGTCTTTGTCTATAGAGATTTCGTTGGTTTTCCTATACCAGGGGTCTGTAACCTTAAACACTCAAAGAGCCATTTGGACCTGCTTCCCACAGAAAACACCTGGAGCCACAAAACCTAGGTGGGCGTGGCCAATTCATCACTCCCACACAGTCACATGACCCCCTAGCCATGCCTACCCAGGTTTTGTGGCTCCAGGTGTTTTCTGTGGGAAATGGGTCTCATCTCTCCCTTTCTTTCTCCCCCTTCTCTCATTTGTTTTCCTTTTACCTCTCTCTCATTCTTTCCCTCCAGCTGTCTCATTTCTCTCTCATTTGTTTCTTTCCTCTCTCATTTCCTCCATTTTCTCTTTTTCTCCCCTTTGCTCTCTCTGCCGGATGCAGGGAGGGAAGACCTCCAGCTCTCCTGCGCAGCACGGCCGGCTACACACAAGCACGCAGTAGTGGCAGCGGGAGGAGTCGCCACCGCTGCCGTGATCCCAGCCCAGGAGGATATCCCGCTCTTCCCTCCCTGCATCTGGCGGTGGCGGCTGCTCCTCCCTGTTCCCATCCTTCCTGAGCCGACACGAAGGGGACCGCAGCTGGCACTGAGCTGCCCGCAAAGGATGCGGAATCGCAAAAAAACTGTTGCGGGCAGTGTGGAGAAAACGCTAGGGGTGCTTCAGCCGCATGGCTCTGCAGGGAGGTTCGCACCTTCTCAGAGTGGAGAGCAGGTCGCGTGATGGGGTTGGCAGGGAGCCGCAGGAGAGGGGTCAAAGAGCCACATGCGGCTCTGGAGCTGTGGGTTGCCGACACCCATCCTATACTCTGAGGAGTGTAAAGACCAGCCCTTCCAACTTCAAAATGTTCCATTTCTCCAAGGCTCACCTTACAATATAGGAACCCTTTCTGTCTGTTGCATTTCACCACACACTCAGGAGAACAAATCTTTCACCAGACTGATGCAGATGGTGACCTGTGCTACAGGCATTATTTCAAATTAAAGGCCAGCAAGCAAGAAGGCTCTCCAGTACAAGGAGACTGATCTGAGTTTTCCCTACTCCAGTATAGAAAGTTGGACTCTAAATGGTTTATGTCAGTTATGTTCGTCTTCAAACCTGTGGTGGGGTCTCCAGATAGACTGGCCCATGTGGGGAGGTGGAGGGGAGGAGTTCAAGAGGGGCCTGAGTTTAGAGGCGTTGCACTGGGCAAGTCTCTGTCACCCAAGTCATGGCTGTCCCAAAGGTGCTTTTCAAAAGGCAACTGGACTTTCTTGGTTTTCCCTTGAAAACGTTTTGCTTCTCATCCAAGAAGCTTCTTCAGTTCTGACTGAATGGTGGGGAATAGAAGGATTTATATTCTTTGCAGGTCATCAAACACAAAAGAGGGTCAAAGAGGCCATCTATGTTAAGATTGAACAGCCCTCTCAACAGAGGGGGAGGGATACGACCATCCCTATATCGCCTGTGTACAACACAAGTCCTTTCAGAAGCCCCAAGAAGGTTCCAAGCCCATTGGCGCTTTGGTTCAGGTGACCTGAGGGTGCCCATAAATCCCCAAGTGGCCTCAACAACTCTCAGAAGGCTAAGGACCGTCCTAATGACCAGGTGGCTGCAAGAAATATAAATCCTTCCATTCTCCACCAGTCGGTCAGAACTGAAAAAGCTTCTTGGATGAGAAGTGAAACATCTTCAAGGAAAACCCAGTCCAGTTGTCTGTGTGTGTGTGTGTCTTCAGTGCTCTCTGTGCTTGGCTGTTTGGTGTTACCTAGTTTGGGTAATGAAACACCTGCAAGAAAACCACCAAGCACAGGGAACACCAAGGATCTCTCATTTCAACTCTGAGCTACAAATATTCTCCTTTACAAGTCCAGTTGCCTTTTGAAAAGCACCTTTGGGACTGCAGCAAGTGGCTCAGACTGGATCTCCCCCAGAATCCATAGTGCCATATTTATTTTATTTATTTATTTTATTGAATTTCTATACCGCCCTACTCCCGAAGGACTCAGGGCGGTGCACAGCCATGAAATAAAACACATAGATATACAAAATTTAAAATAGAATAAAATGAATTAAATAAATTTGGCTGAATTAATACCCATAATTTAAAATACCCATATTTTAAAATATATTAAAAATTTAAAATTTACATTTAAAAGGGAGAAAATTTAGGCGAGGCCAGCTTGATGAAATAAAAGCGTCTTCAGCTCGCGGCGGAAGGTGCGCAGATCCGGAATCCTCCGTATCTCTGGGGGGAGCTCATTCCAGATCGTCGGTGCCCCCACAGAGAAGGCTCTCCCCCTAGGGGCCGACAGCCGACATTGTTTGGCCGACGGCACCTGGAGGAGCCCCTCTCTGTGGGAGCGTACTGGTCGGTGGGAGGCTGTTGATGGTAGTAGGCGGTCCCGTAAGTAACCAGGTCCTAAGCCATGGAGCGCTTTAAAGGTGGTAACCAGAATCTTGAAGCGCACCTGGAAGACCACCGGGAGCCAGTGCAGCTCGCGCAGGAGAGGTGTTACATGGGAGCTCCACGTTGCTCCCATAACCACCCGCGCGGCCACACTCTGCGCCAGTTGGAGCCTCCGGGTGCACCTCAAGGGGAGCCCCATGTAGAGAGCATTACAATAGTCCAGACGAGAGGTGACGAGGGCATGAGTGACTGTGCGTAACGAGTCCCGATCTAGAAAGGGACGCAACTGGTGAATCAGGCGAACCTGATGAAAAATCCTCCCGGTCACGGCCGTCAAGTGCTCTTCTAAAGACAGCCGTGAGTCCAGGAGGACGCCCAAGTTACGAGCCCTTTCCGTGGGGGCCAATGATTCGCCCCCAATAGCCAGCGATGGCGCCAGCTGACTATATCGGGATGTCGGAAACCACAGCCACTCGGTCTTGGATGGGTTGAGCCTGAGCCTGAGCCCGTTTCTCCCCATCCAGATCCGTACGGCCTCCAGGCACTGGGATATCACTTCAAGGGCATCGTTGGGGTGGTCCGGGGTGGAGATGTACAGCTGGGTGTCGTCAGCGTACAGATGGTACTTCACCCCGAAACCACGGATGATCTCGCCCAGCGGCTTTACATAAATGTTGAACAGAAGGGGCGAGAGAACCGATCCCTGCGGCACCCCACATATAAGGGGCCTCGGGGTCGATCTCTGCCCCCGTCAACACAGACTGCGACCGGTCAGAGAGAAAGGAGGAGAACCACCGTAAAACGGTGCCTCCCACCCCCAACCCTTCCAGCCGGTGCAGCATGATACCATGGTCGATGGTATCAAAAGCCGCTGAGAGGTCTAACAGGACCAGGACAGAGGAACAACCCCTGTCCCGAGCCCTCCAGAGATCATCAACCAACGCGACCAATGCCGTTTCTGTGCTGTACCCAGGCCTGAAGCCCGACTGGAACGGATCTAGATAGATATCTTGGCATCCCCAGGGGAATGTGGCCACTGTGACAAGATTCTTGTGACATGGTTAAGCAAGCTCTTCATGGGTGGTTCTGGTTGCTTTTGCCTCACAGCCAGTCCATGGGGCAGGCCCCTTGCTAACAGGCCATCCTTGATCTCCTATACTTATCTCAACAGTGGCCTCAGAATAATAATATTCCTTTCCCAAGAGCACTTCCTTAGCCCTTTCAATTAATTTTAATCATCCTTGCTTCCTTCTAAATTTTTAATTTTTATATACTTTTATATTTTAGCATTGTACACAACCTGGAGTCCCTCTCTGAGGGAGATGGGTGGTTCAAAAATGTGATAAATTTCTTGAAACCACTTGTTGGTTTTTGTTTTCCAGATCAAATTTTTTAGGCACCACAAGACAATACACAAGCAGAGGACTGGAACTCAAGTCTCGGCTTACCTCCCAAGCGCCAAAACAGTCAGGATGGGTGACTAGTGGATGATTGGCTGAACTGTTACAGGGTTCCAATGAAGATTAATGCTGGGTTGTAAAACTCTACAAACAGCTGAACAACTGCCAGGTGCTCCAGCTAGCAAGGCTAAGGATGAGGAACACCTGGAAGGGTATGGGTGTCCCCATCTGGAGTTGGCCCATGAGACACAACCCAACAAAACGCCCAGTAGGTAGATATCTTCACCTAGCCACATGCAGACCCTACCCTGCCTTTATCTCCCTTTGAAATGTATTTTAATATAAGTACAACACTTAATTTACATCACACAGACAGTACCTTAAAAGCGAAGACCATGCCACAGTAACAGCCAGCCAACCAAACAAACAGTCCAAAGTCAGACCATGACTCTTTAGAAGAGCACTTGACGGCCGTGACCAGGAGGATTTTTCATCAGGTTCGCCTGATTCGCCAGTTGCGTCCCTTTCTGGATCGGAACTCCCTACACACAGTCACTCATGCCCTCGTCACCTCCCGCCTGGACTATTGTAACGCTCTCCACATGGGGCTCCCCTTGAGGAGCACCCGGAGGCTCCAACTGGCGCAGAGTGCGGTTGTGCGGGTGGTTAAGGGAGCAACATGGCACTCCTGTGTGACACCTCTCCTGCGCGAGCTGCACTGGCTCCCGGTGGTCTTCCGGGTGCGCTTCAAGGTTTTGGTTACCACCTTTAGAGCGCTCCATGGCTTAGGACCTGGTTATTTACGGGACCGCCTACTACCACAAACAGCCTCCCACCGGCCGGTACGCTCTCATAGAGAGGGGCTCCTCTGGGTGCCGTCAGACAAGCAGTGTCGAATGGCGGCCCCCAGGGGGAGGGCCTTCTCTGTGGGGGCACCCATTATCTGGAATGAGCTCCCCCCGGAGATACGGAGGATCCCGGATCTGCGCACTTTCCGCCATGCTCTTAAGACCCTCCTATTCCAGCAAGCCGGCCTGGCCTAATTTTCTCCCCTTTCTTTTAAATTGGAATTTTAATTTGTTTTAAATTATTGGGATTTTTAATTGTCTTGGGCTAAATTATTTAATTTGGTTTTAATTATGTTTCTAACTTTTGTATTTATGTATTTTATTCTGTGTCTGTTCACCGCCCTGAGTCCTTCGGGAATAGGGCGGTATATAAATTTAATAAAACAAACAAAAACAAAACAAAACAAGAAGTAGCAGAACAAATAACATTCACACTAATTTACATCACATAAAAAGGTATTTAAGGACCAGTGCTCTGATAGAGGAGTACAATTCAAAGCACACGTTTGCAACCAAATGGCCGAGCTCGGAGCTCAGACTAACAGCCCAATTACCTCTCCTTGGCTGGGGCTGACACGGAGGATGCGGCTGCTCTCAAATTCGTCCAGTTTAACAGAACTGTGGAAGGAACACTCATCCACGCGGACAGCCGTGCCATAACCTGGGGACGAAAGAGCAATCGAGGTGGCTGCAAGGCCCCTTTGGGTAAGGTGGCCGATCAGCCAGCCATCCAGTCAGCTGGGGGAGGCTCCTGAGGAGCAGCAGCAGCAGCAGCAGTGTTATGACTGGATGCCCCACCTGGAGAGCAGCAGGTAGCCTGACTGGCTGGAGGGTGGGTCAGGAGGTGAGCAATACCGCCACCACAGCTGCAAGCGAGAGCAAGGGAGAATGGGCAGCAGCTCCCAGGAGGAGAGCCTCCTTTTGCAGCCCATTGCAAGGTTTCATCTCATGGAGGTGCTGCCGCCACCACTTTGGGAAGGTTAGTTTCACCTAACGTAGCCAGCACCCTTCGGGGTTAACATTCATCCTGATGCTGATGAGGGAATAACTTGTGCCACTGCAATCTGGTCACAACAAAGGGGGTACACACCTCGAAGCTCTGTCTTGCCCACACAGAACTCCTCTGGCAGGCCAATCCGCATCTCTGCAAAGGGAAATCACAGCCCAATGAACTCTGCCACTCTTCGGGCTCCCTCCTAGTCCCAGGCTTTACTCTGAGCCCCTCCTTGCCAGGTGGCATCTCTAGAGACCTGTGCAAGGCTCTAATCTGGGCAACGTGGGGGGGAGTGGGGGGGGGGGCTGTGTTCTGGCCACCTGTGTTGCTCTCCATCTTTCTCAAGAATGCCCCCAAAGATTAGAAAGGGGATCTAGGTCTCTGTGCCTGCATCTGGCAATTCCCACTCCCCCTTTTAAAAGCAATATCTAGGAGGGATTAGCTGTATAGACAAGCTGAGGTTTTTTCTATTTATCCTCACAAGCTGCGAGGTAACAAACTCCCTGCTCTAAGCCCAATTTCTCTCATTTCTCAATTCCATTATTGAAAGTACTGGATTTTCATTAATAAATTCCAAATGTAATTATCCTGGCGTCTTCCTTGTGTACGCCCTCTTCAATATCTGATCCACAAATTCTGAACCTGCTGCCAATACCGTGGATTCCAGTGCTTCCTTCTGCACTTACTGATACACCACACGGGACCCAAAGCAACTATGATTTCCCTGTTTTGCGCTGGGCCTCCAGAAGGCAGCACATACATATGAGCAGCCTCCACCCACCGGAGCAACCGGGAAAGAAGCTCTTGAGCCGTATTTCTCCTTGGATGTCAGTTTTCATGGGAGTGCCCTAGAAAAGGAAAAGATGAGCGTCTCAACCTCTCTGTCCTGAATAGGATCTCGAATTTTAAAGGAAACCAGGTACTCTCCAGCACTTTCTGACTCACATTGGCAGCAATGATGACCGTGAGTCGTTCCACTACATCCAGGAAAACTTCAGGCTGTGAAACCTGGGAGCAGAGAAAGGCACTGTCCTGATAATTCTCCAAGCATGGCAGCAGCCCTCTTGCGTTTAGGAATTCAAGGCCAGGCTGCCACCGCCACCATTTCCAGGGGACTCGTTGCTCTGTCCACATGAGGCAAACAATGACGTGGCCATCACCAAAATTACTGCTCAAGGATGCGCAACGGAGTGGGTAAATCAATTTCTGGGACCTTGGGTCAGATGATTTTGGACAATGGACTCTAAACCGATTGCATAGATCACAATCTCTCATCGAGATCTGATGATGGAGCAGGATGAAGTCATCCTTTTCTGAAGAACTTCTGATTCTGTGAAGCGTTTATAGGGCAAGGGCCACATTCGGCATTGTTGGGACATCCGAGATGAGGCAAAGATGCCTCCAAATTAGTTTTAAAATAAATACATTCATGTAACCCCTTTCCACCCTTTTTGTGGGCCTTTGGAGACTTGTGTTCAACTTGTCCTCTTCCACCCTAACCCATCACGCAGATTGGCCAGGGCCTCCTTCAGTCAACCTCTTTGGAGGCTTCAGGGGGCTGACCACAGACTGGGAACTGGAAGATCAAAGGTGGAGTAGGTCTTACCTGCTCTCCCCGAAGCGACAGGATTGGACGAGCAGCTGCACAACTAGGTGCCACTCTGCTCTGTTGTGTATCTGCCCCAAACTGCAACCGTATAAAACAACAGAAATATGTGGTCATGAGACAGAAGAAATATTAAGAATGGGGGACAGTATACAAATAATATCTAAAGTTGATAGGGCCAAACGTATCGAATTTATGATGGGACATCCCTGGATTGTTATCATAGAATGAAAAACAAATGTTTCCTTAAACGCTACTATGAAATGAACTGGAAAAACCGTACCGTACACTGTATGCTCAGCACCTCAGAGATGGGCTTTGAGAGGAAAAAGAATTACAGGTAGTCCTCGATGTACAACAGTTCATTTAATGACTGGTCAAAGTTATAAGTGCACTGAGAAAAGTGACTTATGACCACAACATTGTAGCATCCCCATCCCCACGGTCAAACGATCAAAATTCAGAGGCTTGGCAACTGACACATTTATGAAGGCTGCCAAATCCCAGGGGTCACGTACCTTTTGCAACCTTCTGACAAGCAAAGTTAGAGTCACTTAACAACCATGTAACTAACTTAATAACCACAGTGGTTCACTTAACACTGTGGCAAGAAAAGTTGTAAAATGGGGCAGAATTCTCTTAATAAATGTCTCACTTGGCAACAGAAATTTTGGGCTCAATTGTGGTTATAAGTGGAAGACTACCTGTAACAGGAAACCTGAGAAGGCAACTTAAGAGTCCGGTGCGTTCTGAAGCAGCCACACCTTTCTTCTATCTATGAGTTGCCAAAACAGCTACCAATCTAAAAGTAGGTAAATACAACCTCAAATGAAGAACACATATTACACCCTCTCATTATTTATTTTACAAAAAAGGCAAAATGCAGAAGCCATATGTGGAAAAACTACATGCACCTTATGATCCAATAGTTTGTAGAACCACTTTTACTAGCAATAATTTAAAGTAATCATTTTCTGTATAACTTTATCAATCTCCCACATTGCCGTGAGAGAATTTTGCCCCCCCCCCCCTTTACAACATGGCTTCGGTTCATTGAGGTTTGTGGGCATTTGTTCAAACACAACTCTAAGTCCCGCCACAACATTTCAATCGGGTTGGGGTCTGGACTTTGACTGGGCCATTGCAACATCTCGATTCTTTTTCAGTCATTTTGTTATAGATTTGCTGGTGTGCTAGGGATCTTTGTCCTTTTGCAATACCCAATGTCAGCCAAGCTTTAGCTGTTGGACAGACATTTGACTCCACACTACTTAATGACTACAAGGTGCCCAGGTCCTGTGGCTGCAAAACAAGACCAAATCAGCAGCCCTCCGCCACTCTGCTTCACAGCATGAGATGTTTGTGTTGATACGGTTTCCACCAAAAGTGGCACTGTGCATTATGGCCAAATATCTCCACTTTGATCTTGTCTGTCGAAAAGACAGTGTTCCAGAAGTCTTGTGATGAAACTTTGCAAATCTAAGCTGTGCTGCCATGTTGTTTCCAGAAAGAGGCTTTTTCCTGGCAATGCTTCCAAACAAACCATATTTGTCCAGTCTTCTTCTAATTATATTGTCACGAACATGCTAATTGCAGCCTGTAGAGTAACTTTTGGATTTTTTGCAAGTTCTCTGATTGCACGGTCTGACCTTGGGGTGAACTTGCTGGGACATCCACTCCAGGAAAGATTGGTAACTGTCTTGAATGTTTTCCACTTGAGAATAATGTTTCTCACTGTAAAATGATGAACTTTAAATTGTTTGGAAATGGCCTTATAACCCTTCCCAGATTGATGGGCAGTCAGAATTGCTTTTCTGAGATCACTGCTGATCAGGGGTGGAATGCTCCCGGTTCGGACCGGATCGCCTGATCCAGTAGCGATGGCGGCGGGTGGTTCGGAGAACCGGTAGCAAAAATTCCTGCCCCCCCCCATGCCCAGCTGAGCCACGCAATCATCAGTGCCTTTTTTTTTACTTTTAAAAGCATTTTTTCTACAACCTCTTTGGCCAAAGAGGTTGTAGAAAAAATACTTTTAAAAGATTAAAAAAAAAAAAGCCTCTGACGAACACAGCTCAGCAGCACAATCATCAGAGGCTTTTTTTTACTTTTAAAAGCAATGCTTTTAAAAGTAAAAACATTGCACACTCCAGCAGATCACACACCCCCGTGCGCTGTTTTACTTACCACATGCCTCCTTTTGATGTGCATGTGCACCTCGCATTTGGTGCGTGGTGCGCATGCACAGCCAGCGAACCGGTAGCAAACCGGTTCAGATTTCACCACTGCTGCTGATGTCTTTCATCTTTGGCACTGTGTTAACAGACCTCAATGCTGGAGATCAGCAAACTCATAAAACTTTGGTTTTTATAGAGATAAGTGACCTTGGCTGATAATCAGTCAATCAAAGCACTTGATTAGCAGCTACTTAGCCACTTTAATATACCTATGGAAGACGTATGGGTGTAAGTTTTTCACACATGGCTTCTTCATTTTGGCTTTCTTTTTTGTAAAAGATGACATGGTGTAATACGTCATGCGTTGTTCATCTGAAGTTCTATTTGCCTACTTTTAAGAACGGCTAAGGAAGGACCAGGTGATTTTTGCTATGTCTTGGATATGTAAAACCATAGAACTCAAAGAGGGCGTGCTTTCTTTTTTCACATGACCGTACCTCCGAGGAGGCGTGTGCATTAACTGAGGAGGGATGCTCCAGACAAAACAAGGTTACACCGGCCAAAAGCCAAAGCTGGACTTGCACCCCCAAACGGTTTGCTTCCTCCCAGGGAAAATCCACTGGTTTGAGTGGGAAGCCTCCTTGGATTCCCAGGCAACCCCACCCCCAGCGCCCACTCACCAAGCCCACCGTGCTGAGGTCAAAGAGGCTGAAGGGCTGGCTGAGCACTGGGTCCATCTGGATGAAGCTCTTCAGGACGTCCGGGGCGGTTGTCTGGATATAACCGTAATCCTAGATGGGGCGGAGGGAAAGTTTCGGCGGGGAGGGTCAGCCACTGGGCGCCAACGCAGCGCCCCCCCCCCCCCCCCGGCCCCCCCCAGCCCCCCCCGCCCTTCGGAGATGAGGGCGAAGTTGAGGCCGACGGTCTTCTCGTCCAGGCGGCCGCAGTAGTCCCGCAGGAGCGCCACCAGCCTGCAAGGGCCGCAGAGGGGCTCAGCCTCCGCCCGCGCCCCGTCCGCCCGCCTCCTGCCCGCCCCCCTACCTGCTGAGGAACTCCACGACCTCGAAGGGGGAGGCGTCGGGCCGGAGGATACCCACGAAGTAGAGCCCCGCGTGGCGCACGTGGGCGAAATGGAGCCCCGGGCCGGCCTCCTGCGTGGCGAGACGGGGGCTGTGAGCGGGGAGGCGCGGGGGGGGGATGGCGGACGGCCCCCCTCCCGCCCTGCCACGTACCATGAAGACCGGCGCTTGGTCGGCGGGCAGCGCCGCGATCCTCCGCGCGAAGGTCTCCACCAGGTCGGCGCTCCCGTCGCCGCGGACTGCGGGGAGCCGGTTAAGGGCCACCCGGTGCAGCCGGCCCCAGCCCCACTCCCCCCGCCACCCCCTCCCCGCGACCCCCACCCTCCCCGTCGGATACAGTCCTTGTAGAGGAGCCGGTCGCCCTTGGACGACAGCACGAACAGCTGGCGCAACATCTTCCCGGGACGACCCCTCGGCACTGCGCGCGCGCACCCCGTCCCTCCCTCCTTCCCTCCCTCCTCTTCCCGCATCCGGGCACCCTGGAAGGTCGGGAGCGGCGATTGGCTGGCTGGCCGGGCGGGCTCGGGGGCGGGGCAGCCGCTTTGGCGCCATTTCTGAGGCGGCGGGAAATCAAGCGGGAGGCGCGATGGCGGGCAAAGGCCGGGATTACGCGGAGGAGCGCGGTGAGGGAGGGAAGAAAAGCCGGCCGGAGAGCGGGCGACGGGGGCGGCCACCCTCCACCCACCCTCCCTCCGTCAGCTTGGCTGACCGCTCTCCCTTTTCCCCGCAGAGAGGGCGCAGGCGTTCCTGGAGGGCTTCCGGCGGCAGGGACCGGGCAAGGCTTTCCCCTACCGGGAGCAGCTGGTGAGCGGCGGGGCGGCCGGCGTGGGGGGGGGGGCGTGTGTGGGGGCCGGCGTGGGGCCTCCCTCCCTCCCTCCCTCCCTCTCTCACGGGCTGGGTCCCCGCAGGAGCGGCTGGCGCACCGCGAGCAGGCGGCCCTCTACGTGGAGCTGGACGACGTGGCCGAGGAGGACCCGGCGCTGCTGGACGCCGCCTGCGAGAACGCCAAGCGCTACGAGCGCCTCTTCGCCGACGCCGTCTGGGAGCTCCTGCCGCGCTTCCGCCGGCGCCAGGTCGGGAGGGGGAGGGGGTCCGTGGGGAGGAGGGGGGGCTCCGGCCTCGATGCCCCCCCCACCCCGCTAACCGCCCACCCCCCAACCTTCCGCAGGTGGCGCCGCGGGACGCGCTGGACGTCTACCTGGAGCACCGGCTGCTGATGGAGGGGCGGGCGCGGGAGGAGCCCGGGCAACCCCGCGACCCCCAGAACCGCTTCCCGGCGGAGCTTCTGCGCCGATTGTGAGTGGCCGCTTGCCCCGGGGGGGGGGGGGGGCGCCCCTCCGTGGGCCCCGGGGGGGGGGGGGGGGGGGGGGGAAAGAGGTGCGAGACTCCCCGTCGCCTGCTTGGTCTGGCAGCGAGCTGTACTTCAAAGCGCCGTCGAGCGCCAAGCCTCGGGTGATCCGGGAAGTGAAGGCGGAGGCCATCGGGAAGCTGGTGACGGTCCGGGGCATCGTCACCCGAGTCTCCGAAGTGAAGCCTCGCATGGTGGTGGCCACCTACAGCTGCGACCAGTGTGGTGCCGAGACCTACCAGCCGGTGAGTGGGAGGCCGGCCTTTGCCTCTTGGGTTCCCCGGGGTTCCCTCTGCCTGGCCCTTCTCCTCTACTTTGCTCTTTCCCACCCCAGATCCAGTCCTCCAGCTTCATGCCTCTGCTGATGTGCCCCAGCCGGGAGTGCCAGACCAATCGAGCTGGTGGCCGCCTCTACCTGCAGAGCAGAGGGTCCAAGTTCATCAGATATCAGGAGCTGAAAATACAGGAGCATGTGAGTTTGGAGAGGTTTGATAGACAGACTGGTTGGGTGGTTTTTCTGGGTTGTTCCTTTGTTTGCTTATCATTTATTGCCATAGCAATGGAATAGGAAACTGACATTGATGGGAGATGTTGTTGTTCCTAGCGTTTTGTCTCATTTGGTTGCCAATTTTTGCACTGTGTTCGCTGCAGTTCGTGCATCAAAGCTGCTAGTGCCTGATGTAGTAGAAGGGGGTGTCCCTGAACCAACCTGTTGCAAAGCCTTATGCTGATTAAGCCTTTCAGGGATCGGGACCTTACTGTTTTTGTGAGGTTGCCTTTATTGCTTACAGAGTGACCAGGTACCAGTGGGGAATTTGCCACGCTCCATCAGTGTCAGTGTGCAAGGCGAGAACACGCGTCTCGTGCAGCCAGGTGACCATGTTAGTGTCACTGGCATCTTTCTCCCTGTGCGGCAGACTGGCTTCCGGCAGCTCTTGCAGGTGGGAGTTCGGGTGGGGGTGGGGAGGTGGCAGGAGAGGGGTCCAGACTTCTGAGCTGAGCCTGTGAGCCTGTCACTTTCTGTGCCCCAGGGCCTCCTCTCTGACACATACTTGGAGGCTCACCACATCATTTGCATGAGCAAGAGTGAGCAGGAGGAGTTGGGAGAAGCAGAACTCACTGAAGAAGAATTGCGGCAGATTACAGGTACAGTTGTTTTCTTTTTGTCTTCTTCCCCCTGAGAAGAAAAAGAAAAAAAAACTTTTTTTCTCCCTAAGAAAAAAGTTGTTTGGCTTTCACTTCTTCTGTAGTTCAAACCGTGCATAGTGATTGGATGATGTTTTTTATACTTGCTTGTTAGTTGTATATTAGAACACATTTCAGTACGCACACATACAACTTTCTGCCGCAATAACAACTAACCTTGTGAGATTGGTTGGGCTGAGAGAGCCTGAGTGGCCCAAAGTCACCCCACTAGCTTCTGTGGCTGACAATGGGCTTCCCGGGTCTCCCTGATCATAGCCTTAACATCTTGGCTAGCATAGTCCAATATCTAGCTGTACCACAGAGCACCTGAGGGAACCTTGTTTCTGCTTTTGATCCTGATTGAATCACCTGTTGAAGTATATCTACATTTTGTCTCCTGGACTCTGTCTGCTCGGCCATATAGGTAGTCCTTGGCTTATGACCGCAATTGAGCCCAAAATTTCTGTTGCTAAGTGACACAGCTGTTAAGTGAGTTTACCACCTTTCTTGCCACTTGCTAAGTGAATCACTGTCATTAAGTTAATAAAACAGTTGTTAAATGAATCCGGCTTCCCAGTTGACTTTGCTGGTCAGAAGGTGGCAAAGGGGGATCACGCAACCACGGGGATACTGCAACGTTCCTGTGGAAAACTGTCGTAAATCTCTTTTTGCAGTGGTGCTGTAACTTTGAACGATCCCTAAACAAATGGTTGTAAATCGAGCACTACCTGCACTGTGAAAGCTAGACATCAAAAGTCGCTCAAAGGACAGGCCTGTGGTCTGCCTATTGACCTTGAACCACACTGCTAGGAATAGTCTTACTCGCATCCTGAAGACTTCCAGCCCCTCCTGAAGACCAGGAGCTGTATGAGCGCCTGGGGCGTTTGCCTTCTCTGGAGTCTGGAGGTCAGGCCCTCATTGCTCTGGCACCTGCTGAGCTTATTTGCAAGGCCTGTCGTCTGAAAGAGGAATAAGCTGCCCATCTCCTTGTGTCGATGGTCATGTGCCCCGCCACACACGGTCTTCTGCTTCTTATAGAGGAGGATTTTTACGACAAGCTGGCAGGTTCCATCGCCCCCGAGATCTATGGCCATGAGGATGTGAAAAAGGCCCTGCTGCTGCTGCTGGTGGGCGGCGTGGACCAGAATCCAAGGGGCATGAAGATCCGGGGTAGGTTCTGTGACTAGGAAGCCCATCATGCTTTACTGCCCTTGGGCACTTTTCCTGTATTTCCCACCCTTGATGGCCTTTAGCTTTGTCCATCAGTTAACATTCCCAAAAAGTGTTGATGAGAGGGGGGGTGATGGGCTTTCAGGGCTTGGGTCCAACAGCCTGGCCCCTCTGTGCTTTACCTAGGGAACATCAACATTTGCCTCATGGGAGATCCTGGCGTCGCCAAGTCTCAACTGCTGTCTTATATCACCCGCCTAGCACCACGCAGTGAGTCTATAATGAGAGGGGATCTGTTGGCTGATTGCCAGGATTGGCAGAGCTGATCAGCTGGTGACTGCAGGGCCTAGATGGCTGCCTGCTAGTCACAGATGGCGATTGGGAGCTGCTTAGCGTCTGTCAGTGAGGAAGGGCTACTCTTGGGGAGCGGGGAAATTTTGGAGAAAAGTGAACCTGGATCATCAAGTGCACAGCTGTATCTAGGATCCAGAGGCCTCGAGTGGCCAGCCAGGACTCTTTGGAAGTCCAGGGGTGGGGGCGGTGGCTAAAAAGAAAGCAACTTCGCTCAGCATCATTGCAGGAGAGGGAGGAATTGAGAGGATTCCCTTCCTGGGAGGGGCTGTTGTGGAAACCTGCCCAATCCCCGCAGGTCAATATACCACAGGCCGAGGGTCCTCCGGGGTGGGGCTGACCGCTGCTGTTCTACGTGACCCACTGACGGGGGAGCTGACCCTGGAAGGTGGAGCCTTGGTGTTGGCCGACCAAGGTGTGTGCTGCATCGATGAGTTCGATAAGATGCTGGAATCGGACCGCACAGCTATCCACGAAGTGATGGAGCAGCAAACCCTTTCAATCGCTAAGGCAGGCATCCTGACCACGCTGAATGCCCGCTGTGCCATCTTGGCAGCTGCTAACCCTGCCTACGGACGGTATAACCCCAAACGCAGCTTGGAGCAGAATATCCAGCTGCCTGCAGCACTGCTCTCTCGCTTCGACTTACTTTGGCTGATCCAGGATAGGCCTGACCGGGACAACGACCTACGGTGAGAGAAAGGAGGGAGTTACTAGCCGCTCTGGTAACCCTTCCCTCTCTTGGGGGGGGGGAAGGGTCTCTCCCCCCTCCCCATCCCTCTGCTTTGCTAAGAAGGGGTGTATCTCCCACAGTTTGGCCCAGCACATCACTTACGTACACCAACACAGCCGACAGCCGCCTTGCCAATTCCAGCCACTCGACATGGGCCTAATGAGGTGAGCGGGGAAGTCTTGCTTTCCAGAAGTTCTTGTGGTCAGATGACTTTGGGGGCGGGGGCCATAATGGTGAACTGCCTGCCTGGCATTTCCCCAGGCAGGTCAGGTTCGTTCCCCTTGGCCCCTTCACAGGCGATACATCGCCACCTGCAAGCGAAAGCAGCCTGCGGTGCCCGAAGCCCTGGCCGATTATATCACGGCAGCCTATGTGGAGATGCGGAAGGAGGCCCGTGCCAACAAGGATACCACGTACACCTCAGCCCGCACTTTACTGGGGATCCTCCGCCTGGCCACCGCCCTGGTGAGCAACGTGGGGAGAAGGAAGGGCGGGGAGAGGGGCTGTCTGCTTCAGGTGCGGGGCATCCCAAGACTAAAGATAATAGACCCCCAGATACAAAGGAGCCAACCCCCCCCCCATCCCCACCCACAGCTGCTCTTGCCTTAGCATGGTTCGGCTGCTGTACCTTGTGTTGGAATAACGCCTAGCGATGGGTTGAAATCATCTAGTGCCCTAGTGGGACAATGATATTTATCTGAACCATCAGAGCCGTCTTGGTGAAACTGGACTGATTGACAGTGTTCCAATTCCTTCCCTCGCTTAGGCCCGGCTGAGGCGTGTGGACATGGTTGAGAAGGAAGATGTCAACGAAGCCATGCGCCTGATGGAGATGTC